CATGCATGGCTTGTGACTCCCGTGTGCGAAGCACAAAAAGGGAGTCTTTGCAGTTAGTGTGTGTGTCTGTGTGTGTGTGTGTGTGTGTCTGTTCCATCGATATCTCAAGAACCAATGTTTGGATTTCAATGAAACTTGGTATATAGCTTGTCTGGGGCAATGCGCAGATTTGATTAGTTTTTGGTTGACATCCATGCATATTAATGAGCTCATCTGCATAATAATGTGTGAATTTTAATTTTCTTATGATATCAATCAATGACTTTTAACTTTTTATTCATAACAACACTGTTTAACATTTTGTAATGAATTTAATAACAAATATCTACTTGTTCGCTTGTTTTACTTGAGTCATTATTATTTTTTTCTATTTTCTAATTTGGGAATAACAGTACTATCAAACTTATATTGTAAAGTTAATCTGTATGCATAGATGACCTTCTCAACCCTGTGCTGTGATTTTCCAACCCTTTATAGTCCATATTATGTTGTGGTCTACCCCACCCTATGTCATATGTAGGTTAACTATGTTTTTTTTTTCAGAACTGGTTCAAAAAGACTGCCTTTTTGTTTTAACGAATACAATTCCAGACACACCTTGCCTTATTATAGCAATTAAATCTTGTACATGTGTTGTTTCTGTATTGTTTACTATTACTATTGCATGATGTGAACTGTGTCATGTCAATGACTTGTTTAAATTAATATATTGCAGCAAATTCTAACAAGTAAAGAGAAAAAAGCTGTAATGGATGATAAAATGAAATTATCTGAACATTTCATCACTAAACTGCCTGAACTGTTAGCCAAGGTAATGAATGACTCACTTCACATTAAAGAGTACTGCACTGGTCAAATAAGCACAATCAATATTTAAATGAACACATTTATGTAAAAAACTTAGGTGAGCAACCTTTCCCCTAAAGGCCCCGTCACACCATAACGTTTTGGTCAGCGTTCTCTGAACGTTCCAATCGTCCAATTTCTGAGCGTTCTGGAATGAGGTAGACACATCCAGCGTTCAATTAACGAGTGCCTAAACGTATGACTAGCGTGTTCCTAACGCACGAGTAGCATGTAATGAGCGACCAAGTAAGATAGCCCTGGAAATCATTTACGTGTGCTAACATGTCACTAGCGCGCGACGAACGTCTTTTAAACGTTAAGTGAGCGTGTTGAGCGTTAGGTCGTTAATTTGACATTAGTCGCACGCTTTATGTGCGCTAGGGGTACGTTCAGCGGTCGTTGACAGGTCGCTAGTGAGTTGTTCACTGCAAAGCGAGCGATTGGTAACAACTAAGTAACGCTAGAGCAACAACTGACTAACGATTGTCAAACGCGTCAAACGTTAGCAAAACGATCGAAGAACGTTATTTAACATTTAACAGCGTTTAAAAATAAACGTTGAAGAATGCTTGTCTCAAATGAAAACTTTTGTGCATGTTCAAAACTTTTTTTTGGATCAGCGTTCTCCGACGATCAGCAACGTTCACTAGCGTTCTCACGACGCTCTTCTGACGCTGTCCCAGCGACTTTGGACGACTACCAACGTTTCCTCAAACGCCAGAGAACGCTAGCCAGAACGTCATGGTGTGACGGCCCATAACCCAAAAGCTAAAAAATTTACAATGCTCATTATATTTTGAAGATAAAAATTGCTTATTAGATTTAAAACATAAAAATTGGATAAATTTCTTTTCTACCTGTTCAATTTTTTATTCTGCCATTGGTTCCAGACAATGGAACAATACTCAAGGTGATTTCTCAAAATTGAAATATACTGCTATATATAGTGTATACTGTGCCTATATTTTTATGAGGTACTGCTATATATAGTGTATACTGTGCCTATATTTTCATGAGGTACTGCTATATATAGTGTATACTGTGCCTATATTTTTATGAGGTACTGCTATATATAGTGTATACTGTGCCTATATTTTTATGAGGTACTGCTATATATAGTGTATACTGTGCCTATATTTTTATGAGGTACTGCTATATATAGTGTATACTGTGCCTATATTTTTATGAGGTACTGCTATATATAGTGTATACTGTGCCTATATTTTTATGAGGTACTGCTATATATAGTGTATACTGTGCCTATATTTTTATGAGGTACTGCTATATATAGTGTATACTGTGCCTATATTTTTATGAGGTACTGCTATATATAGTGTATATTGTGCCTATATTTTTATGAGGTACTGCTATATGTAGTGCCTATATTTTTATGAGGTACTGCTATATATAATGTATACTGTGCCTATATTTTTATGAGGTACTGCTATATGTAGTGCCTATATTTTTATGAGGTACTGCTATATGTAGTACCTATATTTTTATGAGGTACTGCTATATATAGTGTATACTGTGCCTATATTTTTATGAGGTACTGCTATATATAGTGTATACTGTGCCTATATTTTTATGAGGTACTGCTATATATAGTGTATACTGTGCCTATATTTTTATGAGGTACTGCTATATGTAGTGTATACTGTGCCTATATTTTTATGAGGTACTGCTATATATAGTGTATTTGTGCCTATATTTTTATGAGGTACTGCTATATATAGTGTATTTGTGCCTATTTTTATGAGGTACTGCTATATATAGTGTATACTGTACCTATATTTTTATGAGGTACTGCTATATATAGTGTATACTGTGCCTATATTTTTATGAGGTACTGCTATATA